AAAAAAAAAAAAAAAAAAAAAAAAAAAGAAGCATTACAGATGGCTAGAGAGGGGATGAAACACTCAACTAATGGTGTTTGAAAAACTGACCCAATGGGAAAAGCTTTAAGTTAGAGCCTCACTCCAAGCCATATCCCCAAATGAATTCCAAATAGATGGAAAAGCTAAACATAAAAAGAACCCGTGAGAATTTTCTAGAAAATATAGTTGAATGTTTAACTGATTTCACTGGTAAGTAAGATCTTATCAAGTATGAAAACAAATAGCAGAGGAAAAATCGCCTAAAATGCAAGAGGGGCTGTACCTCAAGTGATAAGATTAAACAAATGACAAATGAAGAAAAAATACGGGTAACAAAGATGACAAAGAGTTAACAGCTTACTCTAGAAAAGGGTGTTTTAACACAGTTTTTAAAAGGCAAGCTTCCAATAGAAAAAAAAGAGGCAAAGACCTCACAGGAAATTCACAGAAGAAAAACATGGAAATGGCCAAAACATTATATTAAAAATATATTAAACCACATTAACCCATGTTTTCTTCTCTATAGTTTACTGCATTTTCTAAATTTCATCTTCAGAAGAGAGTACAGGCAGGATGGATTCATTTATAGAAAGCCCCGAAGCAGGCAGAAACTCATCTGTGAGGCTGGGAATGAGGGCGGAGGTTCCTTCTGGGCGTTAACCTCTGGATGTGGCGAAGGGGGGTGAGGTGTTCTGTACCATTCTACTCCTGCTTCGGTGATGATTACACAGGCCTGTTCACGTTGTCGAAATTCACCAAGCTGAACACTTATAATGTGTATACTTTTCTGTATTTATGTGTACTTTGTTTACTTTTAAAAAATGTGTATGGCAAAAGATCCCACAAAAAATAGAAAATGTACAAAATGTATTTTTAACGGAGATGACCTGTAAGGTGTAAGTGCCCAAAATATACAGTGAGGGTGAACTCACGAGAGAGACCCGAATACCCAACAGAGAAACGGACAAGGGCTATAAACAGGTAAAAGAAAGGAATCGGAATAAATGTCCATCACACACCTGAGGAGGTGCTCACGATCACTAGAAGTCAGGGAAAGCCGATTAGAGCAACAGAGAGACATCACTACACCCATCAGCCCACAAAAAACTTAAAAATAAAAAAATCCGGAATACATGTTCATGGGAGCGACATGGAGAGAGGGGTCTCCATGCACTGCTGGTGGCAACGCGAAGAGTCCTGGCGCTTTCCGGAAGCAAAGCGGCAACTGGCAGTAAAATCAAAATGGAACACGCGCCCTCCAGGTGGATCCAAGGTAACAGCAACCGAAGCAGACATGGTGTTCTCAGAGAAGCTTGTCTTCCCCTTGTCTTCGAGGTCATAGGAGTTGCCGGTTCATATCATAGGACCCCTGCTGGACTTTCCCCCCGTTTGTTCATCCCAGAAGCAGGGATTGACCTGGACTGGTGTTTGCTCCCCTGCGCTGTCTGAGGGCTCTGTGTGCCCCTCTCGGTGTCCACCAAGCTTTACGCTGTGCAGGAGCCTTCTCCTGGGTCTCCTGGAGTCCCACTTAGCCCACTCCATCCCGCCTGCACACTGCGGCCAGCAGGAGCCTCAGAAAACACGGATGCGATCAGGGCATCTTCTGTCCATTGTTCTTCATTTTTCATTTCCAAGAAAAAAATGAAACATTCTCACCAGGGCCTTCACACCCTGGCCCCTGCCAGCCACGCCTGTTTCATGTCACCACCCTGAGCCCCTCCCTCGCCCACCCCCTGCCACTCTGGCCTTCCGTCACCTCCTGGACCGCACCAGGCACCCTGTTCCTTGACAGCCTTCCCTCAAGCCCCCTGTGCTTGTCCTGCCCTTCCCCAGGATGCCCTGTCTCCCTGCGGCCAGGCTCCGGAGAGCATCACCACGCGCCTGCTGTCCCTTGGACCCTTCCCAGCTCTTTCACAACCGTGAGTAAATAACTCTGTAAGCCCTTGAGCAATGTCTGTCTCCCTCCGAGACCGGAGCTCCTCGGCACAGGGAGCACGTCCACCCCCGTCACAGCCGCGTCCCCAGCTCCCCGCAGGGTCTGGCACCGGGAAGGCACCCAGTCAGTAACAGCCGAACGCTGCATTAGTGCACTGTCCTCTGAGCCCGGCAGGCGACATCTCCCAGCGCGGTCGTGCGATGGAAGGAGAAGGGACAGTGGGGGAAGCATGCTGGTGTCTCCTGGGGGTGACAGATGCTCAGGCCCCCTATGTTTCCTGAGAATACCCCAACGACCTCAGGGCTGGGGGTGTGGGGAGACCCTGGGGTCTACTCCGCAGTCAGATGCCTGGGTTCCAGGCCCAGCTCTGATACCAACAGCAGTGGGACCAGGACTCTCCACGCCTGTTTCTTAACCTAAAAACTGGGCAGGTGGGAGGAGGTGGAAGATGACAGTGACACCAGGTGTGCTACCTGGGCAGCCACGCCGGGCCCCTTGCTCAGAAGGCCTGCGCTTGGTGTAATGCCCTGTTGTCCCTGCCATGAGAGCCTGAAGACGTTTTGAACAAAAGGCCCACACTTTGATTCTGCCCTGGGTCCCACAAATTGTGTACCCAGGCCCGATACCATTTATCCCAGTGTGGTAATGCCAGGGGCGCGCCTTCAGCCACCAGGAGCGTGAAGGGCTCGCTAGGTGGCGTCTGCTGCCTCGGGGGCCCCCTGGCTCGTGGGGGATGGCTGGCCTGACACCTCGTAGCCTGAGGGCGCCGTCTCTCCAGCCCCAGGAGGATTTCAGGGACCAGGGCGCTGCTACAGGTCGAAGTGGCAAAGGTGCAGCCCACCCGCTCTTGTCCCCCCTTTCCCCTCTTCCAAGGGGCCCCTCCACTGTCAGGAGAAATGCTCGCACGTTCGGGGACCCCTCCCTACCACTTCCTGTGAACACTTTGAGGCTTCTGACCCTCCGGAGTCGCCTCGCCCCCGAGCAGGTGGGCCCCGAGCAGCGGAGGTGGGTGAGCCCTCCGCCCTCCGCCCTCGTGAGCCACCGCAAAACCACCGTGGCAGCTTTATGACGGGGCAACCGGCCTGGAGGGGAGAGAGCTCTGCTGACTCTCACTACCTTCCACAATTAGCAAAGACATATTTCAGGATCATATATGCAAGCAGTCGAAAGGCAAATCGCTTTAACAGTGAATTAGTAAAGGGTTTTTTGCCGGACTGAGAGTCCCACAGCATATAAAGCCCGAAGCGCTTAGCGTATGGATTTAAGCGCCAGCAGGCGTGTGTGCTCTGCACGGTCCCCCTGCTGGCGGTGCTGACCCAGGGACGCTCTCGTTCCCACCCTGGCTTGTTTCCCAGCAGCCGGGGCGCCCAGGGGTGATGCTGGGTGCTGAGTCTGCCTCACCGCCTCCCAATGCAGCTGGAACCAAACCTCAAAGCCCCTTCTCGCAGGGCGCTGTGGTATCTCCGGAAAGCCGCCACGCAGAGTGGCTTATACAACAGGCCTGGCCCTCACCACCCCTCCGGATAACACTGGAGATTACTTTAATGCCTCCAGTTCTTAATTTGAAAAACAGATGAGAAAAACACTTGAGATCATCTCTAAAAGTACAGCTAAACCCTAAATTAACTTCACCTTATTTCTACCATCCTCAACATTTTTTTTTCTCTGTAGGTTAATAGTTCTTGAGAAAAACGTGCTTGCCTCACCTGGAGATGGAACAGTTTCCCCCGAGACGACAGGTCACGGGAGGGGAGAGGAAGGGCCCTGGGAAGGATCTCACTCCGTGAGGGGACAAACAGGGAACCGAGGCCAGCCAGGACAAGAGGCAAGAAGGCGGTCAGTTCCGCCGGTTCTTGGACGAGGTGTTGAGGAAGCAGCTTGGACAAAGGGAGGGAGGCAGGTGGGACGGAGGCCAGACAGGCCACCAAGCTGCCCTGTGCCGGGCCCGGCCACAGACCGGAGCCCGGCATGTGTGGGCCCAATGACCCCAGCCGGGGCCAGAGAGGGCACCCAGGCGACAGTCAGAAAGGGCTGCTCTGGACGGCACCTTTGTGTGCAGAATCCAGCCCCACCTTACACAGGAGGAAACTGAGGTCCAGAGAGGTGAACCTGCCCCCCCCTTCTCACAGAGGAGGAGGGCAGAGCCGGGCATGTGCCAGGCCCCTGCCCCCAGCACAGAGCCCAGCCCCCAGGCAAGCTGTACAAAGCTGGACGAGCTACAAAATGCCAGAAACAGGACCTTAAAGTGTAACTTTAAATGCACGTCCTTTGCGCTCAAAGTGCCAACTCTACACCAAGCTGAACAGGGCAGCTCTGAACCTTACTCACTTGGAGTCTAACGTGTCAAGTTCGAGCGGGAGCCCTCAGGGGCCCACCCTGACCTGTCCTTCCCCTTCTGGAAGCCCAGCCCAGCCCACACCCCACACACACCTGGGGCAGCCACTCCACTGTCACCACCCCACCAGCTCCAGGGTGACCGACTCGTCCCCATGACCTGGGACTGGGGGTCCCCCAAATGCAAGACTTTCAGTTTTAAAAACAATAAAATTCCGGACACACCAGGACAAGCTGGTGACCCAGCTCCCCTCCCAGGCGTCCCTGTGCCTGAGGGCCACCCTTGCCCCATCAGGAAGCCGCCTCCCTGCCCCCAGACAGAACGCCCTCCTGGGGTCTCCCTGCTGCTGACCGCCTTCTTCCTGACCCAGAGCCACTGGTGCACATGTGGCAGCTCTGTGGTCAGGGGGGCGCAGATTAAGGATCCTGTCTCCGCATGGCGGGGTCTCTTACTTTGCAGCTGCTCACAAATCAGCAGTTACCCAGAGCATCACAGAGACGCTGTTTGTGAAGCACACATCCATTTGGGCTCTCCTCCCACCCCCCATTCTGCTGCCGGCCGCCCCCGCCACCCCAAAGACCATTTTTAGGAAGTCAATGTATGATTCAGAGGCGGCCGATGTTCCAAGAGTCCTTCCTGCTCTGTGAGCACCCGGAGCTGAGTTAGCCATTCAGGACTATAGTACGTGAAGAAACTATCTAAGGATATAAAGTGCAGCCCCGTCAGAGCTGCTAGACAGTGCTGGGAACGGTTTAAATGGCCTCCCTTTCTCCAAATGAACCAGGACTGGTCCTTGTCCAGAGGCCCTTTCTCTCTCCTGTTGCTGCTGCGCGGGGCAGCAGAGGGCTGTGGGTGCGCTGGGCACGGGAGTCCACACCATGTCTTTTCCAAGACACTTGGAGTGACCTTCTCCCTTTCTCCCCTAGGGCCCCTCCCCACCTGTTTCTTTTTAAAAAGGGGGAAGGAAGGAAGGGTGGTGGGGAATAAAAACAGAGACAAGAAGAAAGCGCCAGCCCATGCTTGACTCCTGCTTGGGGGCCTCAGAGCAGAACCAAGGGCCAACCATCCCCTGAGACCTGCCTGATGTGGGACATTGGGGCCTGTACGCAGTGAGAGGTGCTGACCCTCCTGCTGAGTTTAAGGCTGTCCTGGGTGGTTGTCAGGACACCCCGGGCATTGCAGCCACACATGTGGAGCCAAAGCCTGGCCACAAGCATTAGGGGCCGGGGCCTCTCACCACTCACCGTGCCAGCTTGACATAATGGCCCCAGCCCTGGTGTCACCTCCTCAGCACGCCTTCTCTGTGACTGTCGGTGAGGGGGCTGGGCAGGGATCTTCCTGCTGCTTCTGTCCCACCATCACCCAGTCCCCCTCCCAACACATCCTGGGCCACCAGCCTTCCGCACCCGGGACCCCGAGGTTCAGCTGCCTGAATGGACTTGCTTCCTGCCCAGCAGAAACTCAAACTGATACTCTCCCATCTGCTGACCATTCACCACTTATCCATCCACTTTCCAGCTTTGCAACGTTCTTAACGTCTCTCATGCGCCAATGTCCCTTTTCCTTTCTTCTGTCCTCACCAGTCCTCACTTAGCGGGATTTCAGAAGGGGCAGCGCAGTCCTGCATCTTTAACCACAAGTCCTCTGTCAACAGGGACAGCTCCAGAATTTCTACAGAGGATGGTCTGAGGGCAGCAGTCAGGGCAGGGAAGGAGGTTGCCTAGGGATATGGTCCTAAAGCAGCTTTTGCTCAGCAAGTGCACCTTTTTTTTTTTTTTTTTTTTTTGGTGTATGCTCTATTTAGATTGTATGCCAGACAGGATCCTGGCAGGTAACAGAGGACATCTCCGATTGAGTAACCTGAGGAGCATTTTTTATGGAACGATTTACAAAAATACAAGCAGAACTTTTAAAGGAAGCAGTAGAGGTAGCAGAGTGTTCCACATTATTCTAACGACCACCGGGAGATGTCACCCAAGTCCTGAAAGGGGCGTGGGGATAGCTCATGGGACCTGGAGAGAGGGAGCTGGCTTCCAGGCTGGGATCTGCAGGAGCAGAAGCTGAGATGAAGTTGAGGTGCCAGGTGTTTGTTAAGGAGGCAGATGGCAGAGGTGAAATCCAGCTGTTACAGGCCCACTGCAGCCTCAGCCAGCCCTGTGGGGAGCTCAAGAGCAAGGGGTGGCCATGAGACAAGCCTCCATGCCGGCCTCTCAGTCACCAAGAACTTGACCAGACAAGATGGGTCTCCACCAGGGACAGACCCAGAAGGCTGCTGACCATGCCCTGCTGCTGGGCCACGGTCTTTCCTGGAAGGGAAAAGCCAATACCGAGACCATCAGTAGGAGGGTGCATCCAGATGACAGCCGCACGTGGAGTAGGGAGCCAGGTGGCCTCCCTCACCTTCTGCCCCTTCTACTCTCCCTCCAACTGTCAACCCTGCCCAAAGTCAGAGAGCAGGAAGCCCTGGCATCCCACAGGGCAGCCTCCTGCCACACTCCTGCAACACTGCAACGCAGCTCCATCCTGCATGGCAAGGAGGGCAACGGTGGCAGTTAGCCAACTCAGCCACCAACAAAGCACGGCCATCCCCAAAAGACCTAGGACTTAACCTCCACCACCACCACCACCATCATCATCACCATCATCACCATCACCATCATCATCACCATCATCACCATCATCATTATCACCATCATCATCACCATCACCATCATCACCATTATCATCACCACCATCACCATCATCACCATCATCACCATTATCATCACCACCACCATCATCACCATCACCATCATCACCACCATCACCACCATCATCACCATCATCACCACCACCATCATCACCACCACCATCATCACCACCACCATCACCACCATCATCACCACCACCATCATCACCATCACCATCACCATCATCACCATCATCATCACCATCACCATCATCACCACCATCACCACCATTATCACCATCATCACCACCACCATCATCACCACCACCATCATCACCATCATCACCATCACCACCATCACCATCATCACCATCACCATCACCATCACCACCACCATCACCATCACCATCACCATCATCACCATCATCACCACCACCATCATCACCACCACCATCATCACCATCATCACCATCACCATCACCATCATCACCACCATCACCATCATCAACACCACCATCATCATCATAATCATCACCATCATCATCACCACTATCATCATCACCATAATTACCATCATCGTCAACATCACCATCATTTGTACTTGAAGGAGTTAGGAAGCCTGAGGGAGATTACAGGAGGCTAAAGCACCCACACTCATGCCCACCCCACACACACACTCACACACATACACACACTACACACATACACCTGCACTCACACACACATATATATAGCACACATACACATATATACACTCACACACACTCCACACAATCACACACACGTACACCACACACACACAAAGCCACACTAAGTTGCTGCAACTCTTCCAACTTTCTCAAATATTTTGTATGGATGTTGGCACATTTAAATATTCTAGCACTTCTTCGATTAATTTTAATGATATATACTTTTCTAGAAAATTAATCTCTTTGGCCACATTTTCAAACTCTTTCAGCACAGAGTTGTAAGAATTATTCTCTTCAAATACTGATTTCTCTGAGGCTACTTTCATGTAATATATTCATGTTTTTCTTACATTTTTCTTGATTAACTAGCTAGTAGTTTATTCTCTTTTCTTTTTCTATAGAGTGATCTCTTGACCTCCGTTTATCAATTCTATTGTTTCTGTTTTCTAATGAGTTACTTCTGCTGTCATCTGTAGTCCTTTCTTCTGCTTTCCTTGGGTTTTTTTCTCTTGAAATTTCTTAATTCCCTCTGACAATTTTTAAATTATAAACTTATTTTCTCAGTATAGTTCCAGCTACATCCAATAAGCTCTAACATAACTTTTTCTCTTCCATTCTTTTCTAAATATTTTGTTATTGCTGATTTGATTTCTCTCTTTTATCCATCCATCAGATGATTGTTTTAAATTTTGCAAGAAGTTGGTCTTCTGTCTGTTTCTAATTTGTCCTTTAATTTGTATTTCCATTCTCTGCAGTGGGAGAGCACCATCTGTGCTATTTCTGTCCTTTAGGATTTATCGCTGATCCAAGGACACATAAAACAAGGGTCGTTCTACATCTTCAGGGTACAGTTACAATGTAGACTTTTAGATCCATCTTACATTATTCACTTAAATCAATGCAGGGTAGGAGGTGGCAGCAAGGAGGGACTTCTCTCAAGTTAGTAGGGGCACTGCCCATTGCGGGGAAGGGAAACCCAGATATTGCCTTTGTAAATATCATCAAGCTCCTTTTGGTGGGTCTGGGCTCTGAGCCTGCCTACCTAGACCACAGAATTCCCACTGGGCTATCATCCCCCCTGAGAATAGAAGGGAGAGGAAAGAAAGCTTTGCTCTAGAGGGAGAGGGGGCACTGCCACTGCCCACACCCCAAGTTAACACACAGGTCCTCACCGGCACCCAGAAGCAGAGGAACAAAGAAGGGCTGTGGCACAGTGTACGCAAGGCCTCAGACCCATAGCTGGAGCTGGCAGACTTCAGGTAGACGGACGTGACCTGGGCAGGGCACAGCTGCAGAAGCCAATGGACAGAGGACCAGGGCTCTCTCCCCTGTGACCCAGATTCAAGGGGGTGAGGCTTCAGTTTTTCAAAAATCTCATATCAGACTTGCCACCCATCTTGGCTGGTGGATGTTTCCGTTGAATTTAACTTGATTTGGGGGAAAGAATTTCACGTGTCATCACCTGCACTCTGAATGGTGTGGTGCAGTGAACACCCTTAAGCCCACTTTCCTTTTGTCCACATAATCTATCAAGACCTGAGAGGCAACTGGCAGAGTTTCTCCCACAACTGCATGTGTGAAAAGTTCTTCTTGTATTTCTGATCCTTTTTCAAATAAATATTGATAGTGCATTATATATTATATACAGTTTTGTGAAAATGTATAACTTGATTGTGGACTGATCATTTCATCAATGAAAAGAAAGCCTCTTCGTGCAGTTTAATATTCCTGCTTTGACGCAATTTTTCTGGAGTAGTGTGAGAGCCCTACTTTATTTCTGTTTTTATTTTCTTTTTCATTTACTTACAAACATTCTTATTAATCTATGTCCAGCTTTCTGAGAGCTAATATACAACTGGTTTGTTCTACGTGCCACCTTGAGACTCTTTTTCTTAAAGGTTACACTTATAATATAATGGATACATTTGGTCTTACTTTAGGAGATGGGATGTATCTAGATCTCCAGTTTTACATGCTTCCTAGCAGTCTCCTTGCATTGTTTTATTTATTGCTACGTTGTTTACTTTTTCCTATCTTCTGTCTTCTCTTACAGTTTGCAAGAATATAATCTAGCATGGTTGTTTTAGCTGTCATTGTTTTTACACCTTTAAATAGACGACCTCAACCTGTATTTCTGAGTGTATGATCTTCAGAAACAAAATAATATGAAGAAATTAGTATAAGTACACTTTCCCCACTTCCCCCATTCACCTATTTTTGGGTGGTGTGCTCTGAGAATTTTATCTAACCATTTGAGTTAAGATGCTATTTTTATCTTCTAATGATTATTCGTATTTTTCAGCAAACACTTATTGATCACCTACTAAGTGCCAGGCTCTGCTATTGCTGGTGGCACAGCAATAAACAAAACTAAATTAGCCCCATACTCAAGCTCAGAAAGATTGCAGTCTGGAAGAGAAGCGAACTGTTTCGTGACAAGTCCTACAAAGAGACGCGTAGTCCATTTCCATTCTGAAATGCTTTTTCTTTCTCAGCATCTCTGAGATCAAGAGATGGCCTCGGATGGTGGCCTTGGTGGCCTCTGACAATCTCCATCAGCCATGTGGAGACCTGATTAGATTAGGAGTCCAGACAACATTTATGTTCCGATGTGAAGCACACTACCGTTATTCAGACCTAATGTGATATTTAAATGGAGTCTGTGCTCACCACCTGCCTGCCCTCTCCTTCCCCAATCCACATTTCCAGTGGATGCCTTGAGTGTCCTTTGGTTGGTTAGAACAGACCTTCTAGTCCTGGCAATAGCAATAGAATTGTTTCTTTGAGACAGCAGGCACACGGGACACGAGTCCTCCTGTGGGGGGGTAATGTCTTCCGGTGCCGTTACACAAGCTGGGGATGGGCAGGGGAAATATCTTGGTTTCACAGATGCTTACCCTCAAAACCTGTGGATATTGACCAACTATCTTTTGTCATCCGGCCTCGAGAGAACTCTGATGCCAGCCTCCCGGGTTCCCTTTCTAAGTAACTCGTGTTATTCCTGGATCCCTGAGACTCTACTCCTCATCCTGGACAGGTAGGGGCTTCACCTGGCACCAGATGGAATTAATAGTGTTCTCTCGGACACCCTAAAATTTGTTAAAATGTAGATTTGTGTCTTCTTCAGTCACAGAAAATGTTCTCCTATTACAGCTTCAAAATATTACTCCCGCTCTTTTGGTCTGGTCTCCTTTTCACGCAACCAGTTCTCCTCGCATTGCATCCCATTGCTGGCTGTTCATACCGACCAGCAGCTCTTGATTCCGTAATTTCAGAGCTTTTTGTTTCTGTTTGTTTTGTATTCCCACTGTTTATTTTGTCTAGAGTAGTAATTCCAGTCCTTGTTGCTCTAATAACTTAAATTCTGCAACTGCCTATTGGTTTATCATCTTTCCTTTATCAGCTCTCAAGCATCTTTTCATCTTATATTTCATCTCTTTCTTAAAAGTCCATATTTTATTTGTCTTGTGTGTGCAAGGTATTGAATCTCTCTCTAAATTTTTTTTCTGGATAAACTTTAAAACCATGTTCTTTATTTGTTGTATGATATGTTCTATCTTTCTTTTTGTTCTGGAATCTTTTTGCACAGGTCCCATGTCAAATACTTTGTTCAGCATTGTTTTGCCAAAACTACGAGGATTTCAGGAAATTTTCGGATCCCATTCCAGACACAGTAAGACCAACAACTGATCTCACCAAATTGTGGATTACTCTTTCTGCTGCAACCACAGAATCTGAGATTGGGGGTGTCAGAAGAAACGAGGTGATGGTGGATGCAGGGGGTGCTCTGGTGCGCAGTGGTGATGGAGGATGCAGGAGGTGCTCTGCACACAGTGGGGCTCGAGCATGCAGGGAACTCCCTGGTACATGAGGTGTACCTCCCCAGTGTATTGTGAGCAGGTAGGGAAGGTCACCCCAGTTTCAAAGGCCAGGGCTGCCCAGAAGAATAGTCAGTGATTTTGGGGAGATGGGCACTCCAGACAGAGGGGACACCACAAACAAAGTCACAGCGGCTGAGAGTTCACACTCAGGGTCAGGTGCTGGTGGCTTGGTCGAAAATGACCGGGCAGGACATGTGCTGGGGAGGGAATCTGCCCCAAAATGCCCGAGCAGATTGCTGATTTGTATCTGGAAGATGACAGGGCTTCCTGAATTCCAGTTTAAATTATCCTAAAGCTTCATTTTCCTTTCTACTGCTCGAGAGGAAAGAGAGGTCTTCTTGGACCAATAAGTGCAGGAAACACTGATAAATCTCCCTGCCTCGGGGACTCAAAGCTGCGCACAAGCGTGACAAGATGAGCTGCCTCCCCAGCACGCTGGCCCCGATCCCTTTCATCAGAGGCCATCCG